CTACTCCAAGGTTACAGGGACACTCAGGACCAACCATGAAAATATCAGGTCACCTTACCGGGAAAGCTTGGTTACGGGAAGGCAACTCCAATCATGCAGACTCCTACGGCAGATCAACACACACATTCTAAAACAGACTGCGACCGAGAGGTAATGTGCACATGGATCTACGGAAAACATGCTATTTCTTGGTTTAGTTTGCTGCTGAAATGGTCTCGCTGTGCAGCTCTGCTGCCCTGGAACTCGCTGAAATCGCCTGCCTTGGCCTCCTGTGTGCTGGGATTAAAGGTGTGTGTCACCACCGCGCCCTTTGAAAATGAATTACTTCTAAATAGATGTGCGACTACATTTTCATTTCAAAGCTTTGAACTCAACTTTTAAAGTCGTTGAAATGGCTCTTTTTTCCTCTTAAGCTTTAAGAAATAGAGCATATGTTTCAAGTTTCTTTATAGAGGTTAAATTACTTTGCAGGTTTTGGGGCGGTCTCACTCAACACTGCTTCCACACTGGTTGATGAACATTGTTAGTTGTCGACAATTGCTAACTACTAAAGGCCATTTGTAATGGTCAACCCACTGGGTTCTCAGTGGATTATTTTACACCCTCATCAGACTTGTTAGGAGGCATTTTTAATTTATCACAATGGGATGGAAGGGGCTACTGACATCTAGAAACGTTGCTAAAAGTCCTACAATCCACCGGATGGTTCCCACAACACAGACAGGGTCAGCAGAGCCTGGGCTGATGACACACTGTTCATGGGTGGGAGCTTGTGTTCAGGCATGGCGCCGTCACATGCTACAGATGCGGTGTAAAGCAGCATGGATTTGGGAGTCCCAGGGACCTGTGTGTCACTCTTGGGCCCACCCTTTACTAAAATACGACCCTGGGTAAACTACCTAACTCTTCTGTTGCAATCATATATGTTAATGTGGCTGTGTACAACAATAACCAGATGTCCAGTTCCAGCCAGGAATGTTGGCAGAGACTGGGGAACTATCAGGATCTAGAGGAGCCCAAGGAGACATGACAACTTAATGCAAAATGACTATAATACCCTGCATAGGGTCATGGAAGAGAAAATGGACAAAGAACACACTCAAGAAATCTGGGTAAATTAAGAGCTTTTTAGTTAATAATCATCTTCCAGTATTTATTGGCTTGCGCAGAAGGACCATACTCATGGAAGATATTCCATGTGGAGAGTGATGTCAAGTTCCAAAACAAATCCAGTCAAAGACCATTCAAAAGGTGAGAAAACTAGGAACAGGTTAAACCTTTGCACCACCATTCCATTATTTAGGAGTTCAGGGAAATTTATTTAAGGAATACCACACGCCTGTAGTCTCGGCAAGCACAGAAGGCTGGGGGAAGAGGAGGTCCAGCTGCAGGCACAATTGAGCTACAACAGAAAACCCTGTCTCCATAAAGAAAGAAAAAGCTGGAAGACTGGAGAGATGGTTCAGACGTTAAGAACACTTGCTGCTCTTTCAGAACCTGAATCCAGATGCCAATACCCAAAGCTGGCAGCTCACAAGCACCTATAATTCAGATCCAGAAGATCTGAGGCCCTCCTCTGGTCTCTGTGCTCAACAGCGCTCACGTGGCACACACACATGAACTTAGACACACATAGAGTTCTTTCAACAACAACAAAACCACTGAAAATTCGGGTGCCATTCAGTAAAAGAACATTGTCAGGCATGGATAAAGGCCTGAGTTTGATCCCCAGCACAGAGAAATTATTTCCCATAGTAGTTTTATTTTTTTCAATTTTGTTTCATTGTTTTACGTGCATTAGTATTTGCCTTAATTTATGTCTGAGCACCACATGCATGCCTGGTGCCAGCAGAGGCCAGAAGAGGAGGTCGGAGTCCGTGCAGCTGGAGCTCCAGACAGCTGTGACACTTTATGAGGGTGCTGAGTCAAGCTATGTCCTCTGGACGAGAAGCCAGTCCTCTTAATGGCTGAGTCATCTCTCCAACCCCTTGATTGCAGTTCCAAACACATTATTCAGACTAGAGAGATGCTCGGTGGTTAAGGACACTTGCTGCTCTTGCAGAGAACCCAGTTTCAGTTCCTGGCACCCACATGGTGGCTACAACCATCTGTAACTCCAGTTCGAGGATCCTGTGCATCTTCTGTCCTCCTTGGCCGCCAGGCACACACATGGTGTACATACATACAGGCAGGCAAAACAAATATACATTTAAAAAGTGAAATAAATTAATCCAAAAAAATTACTCAGGGCTGGAGAGATGGCCCAGGGGTTAAGAGCACTGATTGCTCTCCCAGAGGATCCTGGTTCAATTCCTAGCACCCACATGGCAGCTCACAGCTGTCTGTAACACCTGTTCCAGGTGATCCAATGCCCTCTTTCGATCTCCGAAGGCACCAGTCACATTTGTGGTACACAAACAAACATACATGCAAGAAAAACACTGATAACACATAAAATAAATATATCTAAAAAGTATGTTTAAAATTACCCAGAGAAATGCTTAGTGGACAATAACTGAAACATCATGAAAACAGAGTCTAGAGGTTTCTACTACACCTGGGGAGCTGAGGCCAAGTGGAAAACTGTCCTATACTGCAGAAACGGATACTGCAACATTTTTACTGGATATTGCCTTTGACAGTCCAGTTTGTTTTCCTATTCGGCATCAGAGAGAGGCTGACTCTGTGCTGCCTTGGGAAAGGCTGGCTGCTGGTACAAAACAAGTCTGCTGACAAGAATGATTTTAACATGGACTACTAAGACAAGCATCGACAAAAGCAGGGACCAGCCCCCGCTTACTTCAGAGATTAATGAGAAAGCATATGGGAAGTATTCTGAGCTCCCTGGAAAAGTGACACCAGGCAAATTCGAAGACTTGGGTTACAGTATAAAGGGATAACAAGATAACACACCGCTTTCTTCTGGGTCTGCATTAAGACAGGTGTCTTTAGTTCTGGCCGAAGATTAGCATAAAACTCCTTTTCTTCCTCATCAATCAGGTTATAAATGCGCTTATAGCCCGTGGAAGGTATGAAAGAGTTACTAAGCCCTGAAGAGGGAAGAGTACAGAGCTGCTTGCCAGAGCACACAGCACGGGAATGGCAAGGAACCAAAACCCTAGGCTCCCATTACCTCGCTCATGAGGACTGGGACAAAGCAACCCAGGGTGAAGAGGAATAAACATTAACAAATAGGAGTTGCAGCTGGAAGGCCAATGAGAGCAGGCAGCAGACCCTCAGCCCACTGTACCTTGTGCAGAGGACAGGAAGCAATCTTTTCCTTTAATAAAAATATGCTAGCCCACAAGTCAACTCTTCCCTCTGTGAGTCTTCTACACAGTTTTAAATTTTATTCCCTCTCACCATCTAAAAAGTTGTTCACAAATGTCCAAAGTCCAGAACTGACACTGCCGCTGAGAAAAAAGACTGTCGCGTTTAAGTAGGTAAATTTGGAAACCTCATTTACCAGAGGGCCTAAAGATATCATTTCAAGTGACAGAATGATCGAAGCCTTTTCGATGAAAGCAGAATATGGTCAGTTTTTTGTTTGCTTTGATTTTTGAGACAGTCTCATCTTGTAACTTGCTGTGTTGACCAGGCTGACTTGGAATTCAGAGAACTGCCTGCCTCTGCCTCTCCAGTGCTGGGACTAAGTAAGGGCTTGCACCAGCCACTACAGCTGGCGTATATGGACCGCTTCATAATCTGCACTGAGAAAGCACCAAAGACAAGTAGTTCTCTAGCAAAACTGCCATTAACATTTTGGTCCAAATGTTAATGCTATTAATTAATGAAGTATTAATCAGTAAGTCAAACACAGTAGTGGGGCCACTGAGATACACTCATCTGCCCGAGAGGAAGGAATCACTGTTTCACAAACGGGCATTTTACAAATGAAAAGCTTTGGTAGAGAGCCAATTTCTCCAGCTTCAGAAAGGGGAAAAGTGGCACCTTATCCAGACGAAGCCAAATATCCCAAATCATCCGACTCACTCCATGTGCAGAATGAGATATGATAGGGTTGGAATTTTAGAACAGATTAGCTGATTTGGTTCAAAGACCTTAAATCCGCCTTCAGTGATTCAATAAATCTCTCTCCCTCCCAAAGTCATGTAACTATCAAAGAAAGGAAGGAAAAGGGATAAAACGGATTCGCTGAAACACTGCTTGTACAGAAAGTGTTAAATTCACACAACACACACACACACACACACACACACACACACACACACACATATTTCATTTTCCGAATCTGGGGAGCCACCGACCTCTGGTCCTACCATGCAGTCAGAGTTCGTGCTCCAGACGCTGGACAGGAAGCTATCCAAAACTCGGCGCTTGTCACAAGTCAGGCTGTGGAGTCTCACCCGGGGCCCCACTACGAGCTAAGTTCGGGAAAGTTCCT